TTGCAGCTGTTGACCGGCTCATGAAGGAGTATTGTGATCTCTTTGAATTTGACCTATCCTCTAGGGCCAAGATTGCCACACGTCATCCCATTCCAACCGGGGATGCTTGTCCAATCAAGGTTTCTGTTCGTCGTCGGTCACCCAAGAAGATCAAGATTTTACGTGCAAACGTCAAGGAGATGTTAGAGAAGGGTGTTTTTCAGAAGTTGCGAAGTCCTTGGGCATGTGAACCTCATCTTGTGATGAAGCCTGATGGGAGTATTCATTTCTGCATCGACTATCGTCCATTAAATGAAGTGACGATCCCGGATGTGTACCCTCTTCCTCACACTGTTGATCTTTTGGATCGTTTGGGGCGAAGTCGTTGGTTCACCAAGCTAGATCTTGCTTCTGGGTACTGGCAAGTACTGATGGCTGAAGAAGATATTCCTAAGACTACTTTTCGTACACCGTTTGGTTTGTACGAGTTCTTAGTGATGCCGTTTAGTTTGAACAATGCTCTAGCAACTTTCCGACGGATGATGGATGAGGTTTTTTGTGATATGCCAGAGGTGACTACTGACTTCATTGATAATGTCTTGATTCACTCGGAGGGGACGTGGGAGGAGCACATTAGTGATGTGTGTAAAGTGTTGGATCGGCTACAGGATGTTGGTTTAAAGCTGAAGCGGTCAAAATGCGTGTTTGGGTCCAAGGACACAACCTATCTTGGGTACCATATTTCTCGTGAGGGTTTGCAAGTTGATCATGACAAACTTGTAGCCGTTCTAAAGTTCCCTACTCCGAAGTGTGTGAATGATGTGCAACGTTTCTTGGGCAAGGTGTAGTATCTCGGTCTTTTTGTGGATCATCTTTTTGATCGCTTTGCACCATTGCAAGCATTGCTGAAGTCATCAACGTCATCTTTCATTTGGTCTTCAGATTGTGAGCTGGCATTTGTGGATCTCAAAGAGCTGTTAACAACTCCTTTGGTTTTAGCATATCCTGACTACACTCGACCTTTTATTTTGTGTGTAGATGCTTGTGATATTGGTCTTGGAGGTGTGTTAATGCAAGAAAGCCTGAGTGTGCCTGGTCAACGTCATCCCATTGCATATATAAATCGTACGTTACAACCATCAGAGTTGAACTACTCCACAATTGAGAAGGAGTGTTTAGCGATAGTTTGGGGTTTCGAGAAACTTTATGCATATCTACATGGTTCTCGGACGTTACTTGAAGGTGACCATACTGCTGTTTCTTCATTATTGAAGTGGAAGAACCTGGTTAATCGTACTGCTCGGTGAGTTTTGAAGCTTCAAATATATAATTTTGATGTTGTTCATCGCCTAGGGAGTTCTATGGCTGATGCTGATGCTCTTTCTCGAGCTCCTCTTCCTTCTCCACTCTCTTCCCATATTTCTGATGAGCCTATTGTTCCAGCATCTGTGGATTTTCTAGGCGAGGATTCTGTGCCGTTGGTGGTTGCTGTACTTGACGTTCAGTGTCCACAAGGAGCAAAGCAAGATCTACCTTCTCTGGATGAGGTTCGCGAGGCTCAAAAAATTGAGCCATGGATTCAAAGGCTTCGAGATGCATTTGAGAATCCTGCATCACTTGCTGATGACTTGCCTTTCCGGCATTTACATTCTCAATATCACCTTGAAGATGGCCTTCTTTATTTTGTGGGGACGGATCCTAATGATTATTTACGGCTGGTGGTGCCTTTTGTCTTTATTCCGCAGTTTCTCCATGCCTACCATGATTCTCATGTTCTAGGTGGGCATATGGGACATCGTCGTGTGACTGAGAAGCTGCGCAGGTCTTTCTATTGGCTAGAGATGCAACATGATGTTATCCAGTATGTGTGTAGCTGCGTTTGGTGCCAAGCTCGTAATACTCCCCCTTGTGCTGCGGAAGGATGGTTGAAGTCAATTGCAGTTTCCCGTCCGTTTGAGTTGGTGGCGTTTGATCTTATGGGACCTTTTCCACGTTTGACTGCTAGCAATGAGTATGTTATTATTGCTTCTGACTACTTGACTCATTGGGTGGAAGTTGGTGCTCTTGCTAGTGCCTCTACAACTACTGTTGGATACTTCCTCCTCAATCGAGTGGTGTTCCAGCATTCTTGTCTAGAGCGGATTCTTTCAGATAATGGTCCTGCAATTATAGCTGAGGCATTTCATGTTTTGACGTCTCGGTTGGGGATATGCCAGACTTTCCCGAGTGCTTATCATCCACAATCAGACGGTATGGTGGAACGGCTCATTCGGACATTCAAAGGGATGATTGCGAAGTATGTGAACTTTCAGCATTTGGATTGGGATGGTTATTTGCCGTCTCTTCGGTATGCCTATGTCACAGGGGTGTAGAGTGTTGTTGGTGCTTCACCATATAAACTTCTATATGGTCATGATCCAATATTACCAACGGAGCTGGGTTTACCTTCGTGATTGCCACGAGCTTCCGTTGCTAGGTCGTGGGATCAATATTTGACAAGCATTCTTCCACTTGTCCGAGCAGAGTCTGCCAAACACTTAGGCCGCATACAAGTAGGACAACAACGGCGCTACAACTCCCATCATCGTCCACCTATAAAGTACAAAGTGGATGATTTGGTGTTAGTCTGTTTTCCCCATTTTACAGTATGTGGTTTATCTAAGGGGCTCCTTGCGCAGTGGAAAGGATTGTATCGGGTGTTGCAGCAATTTGGGCTGCAAGTTTATGAGGTTCGGCATGACGTCTAGTAGGCCGATCCTCCGGAGGTTGTGCATGTGCAGCAGTTGAAACGCTTCATACAAAGGGATCAGGAGCAGTTAATACCATCTATAGATCCGCCAATGCCTCCTCCTAATGTTCCTCCAGATCTTAACCCGTTTACCAGAGAACCCTAACGGCTTTCCATTATTCTGAGAGAAGGGGATGATATGAGGGCTAAGTGTACGGCTACAATGCCATATACTAATATTAGTGTAGTGGGATTTTGGTAGCTGTCAGATTGGTTTCAATCCGGACTACTTGCTCCTATATATAAGCTAAGGTTTTTGGGCTAATTGATATGCACATTTCTATATTCCCTTTCCATATTCCATGCACTCACAAACATTAAGAAAATATGCATATCAATTAGCCCAAAAACCTTAATTTATATACAAAAATGAATGGCTTAGATTAAATCCCACAACACTAATATTAGTATACAACATCATAGCTGGTGTTATAATTATAAATTTTGATCAATTAAATTAATAAATAGAAATAATACTACTATTAATAAACTAAGAATCTTTCCTATCAACAAAAGATGGGCACTTTTTCAAATTAGGGTTCTTAGGATGGCATGACCAAGAAAGCACATAACCTCCAGTTTGATCGATCCATGGCTTTTGTTATCACCACCAAATCTCATGGGCTTCAATTAAATGGTCATGACGAAATTTGAAGAGGATCTGCCCTTGGATTTGCAACTCCTCAAGAGCTCAAGCACCATCGCGAGATCAATGTGTTCCTGGATGCTAAATCCAAAGCAGCCAGTGTTGCTGTATCTGGGACCGCCTTGAGGAGCTGCATCGCCTTACGAAATGTGCCCAGAGCTGTAAAAAGAAGCTCTCAAGATCATTGACGCCTAGATTTTCTGATGGAAGACATTTGTCGCACGCTGTGCTACGTGAGAAAATTTTGGAAAGCTTTTGTGATTGATCCGTTTTCCTTTACCCAAAGCATCAACTGGATTGACTAGTCATCCCCTTCTAATGGCTTTTCCGTGCCTCTGTGCGACGCCTTCCCCCCCAAAACCATCATTCATATATATTAAAGGTGTGGCAGGACTCGCAATGCCCATCGCCTCTTCCTTGAAACTCTTTCTCGTGGAAGTTCATGCTTTTCGCATTACCGCGAATGGGGTTTTAGGAAGTTTGAAAGTTTTCTATAAATCCCATTCTTAAACGTGATACCGCTGCCTTGGCAAGTCAATAAGAAGACCAGAATTTATTTATTAACTGCAAAGTGAGTGATTGATATCATCGCTCATGGGCAGAACGTAATGGTGAAAGTTCCTCCGGTTCCAGTGCCAAAAGTCTTGGTGTTATCACCAGACCAGCTATAGGCATCCGGGCATGAGGCACGGACGTTCTGCGCGTACTGGGAGTTTGGATCGTCCCGGTTGGGACTGGTACAAGTATTCCCATTCCTGTTCTGGGGAGGACAAGTCGCTGCCTCTGCTCGGCAAGTCAGACCTCTGCCAGATCCAGTGATGCTCATCCCAGTGCCGATGAAGAAGCCATCCACGGCGCTCACGTCGTAGAAGTCATTGTTGCTGTTGCTGTTGATCGAGAACTCGGCCAGGAGGCCGGGAGTTCCAGTGCCGATGTTTCCCGCCCAGAGATTCGGAGGATTTAGTCCGCGAGATGCGCCGGGGGCGAGAGTGAATCCGGAGGTTCCAATCGAGGGCCCCCCGGCGTTCTCGCGGACGATGATGTTCTGCGAGCCCCCGCAGCGATTGACAACGTTGAAGTTAGTGGCTGCTGCGAGTGGGATTGCTACAAAACAATGGCTTAGAGCAACAATTGCAACGAGGATGGCAGTAGAGCTTGCCATTGGAACTGTCTATGCTATACCTCTCTAATAATATTTCAAGTCTCTACGCGGATTTATATAGTCCAGGGGAAAGAGGTTGTGGACCGCACGCAACTTTGAACACCACCCGTGAGTTCGGTAAGTGCGAAAGTTCCTTTGCGCCACAAGACGTTGAAAATCATGCTCATGAATTGAGTACATGTGGTTTGATGAATTTCAGTCAAGGATTTGCTGCTGAACTGTGTGAATTCCCCATGCAACTCTCAGTTTCATTTGTTTTGCTTTGTCTATCCTATATTCTGTTTTGGCAGTCTTGTGGTGCCTTACAAGAAGCATGAAAACTCTGCAATTAAGTTTGCATGATTGTTGTGTCCTCCATCGCAATCGTAAAAGTTTAAATGTACTGTTTTAGATAAGTGTTTTACAATTTAAGAAAAAGAAAAACAGAACAAAAATGTATATTTTGTTTAATACTTAAATATGTTACTTTGTTTAAAACCCACAGTGAGTTACATTGCTTCCAGAGTGTAGATAGCAGCCCGAAACATGGGGATGACAATGGTGGATCAAACCACACAAACATCCCCTTCTTCCTCCCACCTCACAAGTCACAAACACCCCTTCAGAACACACGGGCCCAGGAGCTGCACAAACTGCTCGAAATGATAGGAAAGAGAGATTTTAGGAAGCTCCCAAATCTTCTAGGCTTTGAAGGCTTTACCTCGCAGAGGCCTGTGCAACAAGCGGCGCGAACGAACTAGATTTGCACTCTCCAAACTTTCCTGAAGTTTAGAAACTTTTCAAATGAAACGAGACTAAAGTTTCAAGGCTTACATGAGCAACATCCTCCAATCCCTGAGCTGCTAGACCAGAAACAATCCACACTCGTTAAGCTCCGAAACAATAAACCGGGATACCTGTTAGCAGCAGCACGGACAGCAGCAGCGAGACAAGTGATGCAGTGAGAAGTTCACTTCCATTCCTCACCATCGGCGCTTTCGAGATGAGCCTTGAGGAAGAAAGAAAACAAGAGCGAGCAAAGACAGTGAGTCAAAGCGAGCAGGCAGAGGGATTTAAAACCCGGGGGGCCGATCAGTCAGAGCACAGCAGCAGCTGCTCTCTCTAAACTCTAGAATAGAATAAAATGAGAAAGAAAACAAAGCTTGTACCCCGAGACTTGAATGTGAGGCGCGTAAAACAATGCCACTGTTCCACCGTTTGTCAGGTGTGCTGTGAGGCGCAATTTAATTCCCCTCTCGTCCCTTCCTGCACCTACAACACACGTTGATCGAGCAGGAGCTAGTACCTAACAATATCCATCCTGCGAATAAAAAGTATAAAGCTAGCCAGTGTAAGGTGGTGAAAAATCTGTACACCAGTTCGCAATGCAGAGCAAGCAAAGACAGACTCATAGAACCCCAGAAAGAAACACGCAAAGGCTCAGAAGGATCCATTGGTATATCTTGATCACTGGAAGATCACAACAATCCCAGAGGGTCTTTCATCACAGCCTCTCAAAGAGCTAGACATGACACTGGACGACCACAATGCTCAAGAGTTAATACTAACGAGGACGAACAAGTTTCTACCTTAGACGAATGCTCAAAAGGATCTGGTGATTCCAACACGATCTATCATCACAGCCTATACTCGCAAAGAACCGTGAGAACAGTGCAAACGTAGTCAAGATATACGTAACTTGGTTACCTCGTAAAATCGGGGGCGATTGCTGGAAACAGTATCGCTGCACGCTCGAAAATGTGCAGCCACTGTGTTACACCAGCTCTCTTTCTACAGTCTCGCGAAAAAAAGAGAAAAATCCTGTCCATGGATCACGACGATAGCAGCTTCTGCAAGATGGCGTACGAGACCCAAGCGTCGACGCACGCGTAGTTCACTTGAGCATCGCTGAGGTGGAGGTTCTCCCAGTTGCTCATCGTCACTCTCTTGGGCTTGTCCATTCCAAGCCCAATCACAATGCTGGCCATCTTCTTGAGCCCCTGGTTTCTAAGCTGCTGGTTTCCAAGCTTCTCGGTGGCCAGGACGCCCAGCTCCACCGTGCCTTTGCACACCAGGCCATGGTCTCTCTCCAGCTTCTCCGCGTCGTTCTTCACACCAACACCGCCAAACATGGCCTTGGAGCTCGAGTTCTTGAGGAACTCCACCAGCGCGTCCGGGATCTGGTCGATGTAGCACATCTGGACGATGAGGCATTCCGTCTCTCCACAGATTTGGATGAGAGCCACCTTGTTCTCCTCCCCCATGACGCGATTCGGCTTCCACTCGAGATCCACCCCGAAGACACTCCCGTCCTGCCGCAAGACCCAGCTCTCGATCTCCGCCGCATCGCTCGTCACCACCACATCGATCTTCCGGCCGAAAACCATGACCGTCGTCCGCCGCGTCTTGGCGTGGACGAGCAGCTGGCTCTTGCAGACGTAATCCCATACCTTCCTGCGCTTGCGACTCGTGACAATCTCGATTTCATGCTCGCGCGGGGAGATCGCCCCATCGCCTCCTTGCGGCCTCTTCATCGCCGCCGCAAACCCTAAATCCCTCCCATTCTAGGGCTTGGCATTTTCATAAACAGCATATATTTTGAGATGCTTTTAGGTCACAAATGAATATGCTGCAAAGATGCCGGATTCAAACATTTAAAAACACTTTTTGGCATTGGGGACACCGTGGCGAGCATAGTGAGCTCTATGCCCAGCTCAAATTTCTCGGGGCGTTGCCCACGAAGATAATTCCCAGCCATCGAAGTTGATCGTCGAGCCTCACTACTTAAGCCAGTGATTGGAATTCGTTCCAGGGGATTTGGCCAAAGATCTCAAGAGCAGCGACCGAGCTCGCAGCTATGGCAGAGTTTCCACCCATCGAAAAGTGTGGCACCACAATCAGCCGCGAGAGCGAATCGGTGGCCTCCGATCTGGATGGAACGCTGCTGCGCGGGAGGAGTTCCTTCCCATACTTTTTCCTCACCACTTTCGAGACGTCGGGGATCTTGCGCTCCTGGCTGCTCCTCCTCGTCTCGCCTCTCGTCTGGCTTCTCTATCACTTCATCTCCGAGGCCGCTGGAATCAAGCTCCTCATCTTCGCTTCCCTGGCGGGTGTTCCAGTCTCTCAGATCGAATGCATCGCCCGGAGTGTTCTTCCGCGGTTTTATCTCCAGGATCTCAACCCCGAGACGTGGAAGGTCTTCTCGTCCTTTGGGAAGAAGATTGTTGTCACAGCGAATCCCAGGATCTTGGTGGAGTCGCTCTGCAAGGAATTCCTAGGTGCTGACGAGGTGATTGGAACCGAGCTGGAGGTGGATAACCGAGGACGAGCAACCGGTTTCGTCAAGAGCCCCGGAGTTCTCGTTGGAGAGAACAAAGCCAAGGCCTTGCTCCAGGCCTGTGATCCCGAGCAGCTCCCAGACGTTGGACTTGGCGATCGGCAGACCGATTTCCCGTTCATGAAGCTTTGCAAGGTACGTAACAAAAGATCGTCCCTCCTTCCCGCGACTTAGCAGTTCTCACGCTGGCTTCTCTCAATCCAGGAAGGATACGTCGTCCCCCCAAGCAACAACGTGGAGCCAGTTCCAAAGTCCCAGCTTCTGAAGCCCATCATCTTTCACGATGGTCGTCTCGTCCAGCTTCCGACGCCACTCGTGGCTCTCGTCACCCTCCTCTGGATCCCCGTCGGCTTCGTTCTAGCCTGCCTCCGAATCGCCGCAGGCTCGCTGCTTCCCATGTCAATCGTGTACCATGCCTTCTGGCTGCTGGGAGTCCGAGTGACCGTGAAAGGAACGCCACCTCCGAGAGCCACCAAGAACTCCCGAGGCGTCCTCTTCATCTGCTCGCACCGGACGCTGCTAGATCCAATCTTCCTGTCGTGTGCGCTGGGCCGAGGCGTCTCCGCCGTGACTTACTCGGTGTCCCGACTGTCCGAGATCCTCAGCCCGATCAAAACAGTGGCTCTCTCCAGGAACCGCTACAAGGACGCGGCTCAGATCCGGGAGCTCCTGAAAGAAGGCGACCTGGTAATCTGCCCCGAGGGAACGACGTGTCGGGAGCCATTCCTGCTGCGTTTCAGCGCACTGTTCGCGGAGCTGGCCGACGATATCGTCCCCGTCGCCATGGACAACCGGATGAGCATGTTCCACGGCACCGCTGCTCGTGCCTGGAAGGGGATGGACCCATTCTACTTCTTCATGAATCCCAGCCCCAGCTACGAGGTAACGTTCCTCCAGCAGCTCCCGGAAGAGCTCACTTGCAAGGGCGGCAAGAGCTCCCACGAAGTCGCAAACCATATCCAGCGAGCTCTGGCGGGAGTGCTAGATTTCGAGTGTACCAATCTGACGAGGAAGGACAAGTACAAGGCGCTCGTCGGCACGGACGGATCGGTGGAGACCAAGAAGTCAACGTGAGCGAGTGTCGGCCGTGTGTTGACTAGAGTGGACTGTTCTGGTCAGCGGGAGTTGACTTGGAGGTGACTGAGTTGAATTAACTGGAAGAGATTGAGAGCGATGGCGTCGCGGAAGTGATGCATTCATAATTTTTTTTTGCGGGACTGCGACTCCCACAACTTTTAACAAATCAAATTGGATCTGCAAGAGCGTCGCTGTCAGTAGCCCGTGGAGAGAAAAGAAAAGAGAGAAGAAAAGATTAAACTTGCGACCTTTGCCACGACTTTCTGGATGATCGATCGGCCGCGCTCCCATTTCTCCTTCTCCCGAGGAGCTTGTCGAGTGCGTTGTCGTGTCGATCATCGCCGGCGAGCGTGAGAATGCAGCAGTGGAAGCGGAGGAGGAGCGTTCTGGGACGGCTTTGCAGTGGAATCCAGAGATGTGGGAGGCTGGCGAGGAGGAAGTGGGAGAGGCTTTGCGAGAGGAGGAAGCTAAAGATGCAAAGGAGGAGGAGGTACGTGAAGCTGGGAAGAACAAGGACGAGAGTTTGGGGGCTCAAAGTGATGCGTCCTCGAGTGAAATGGATGGTCTTGCAGCTTAGAGAGCTGCGAGATGGCTACCTGAGATTTGTAGTGAGGTTTGCTGGGATTGTAGCGATGGGACATATGTCTGGCGCCATAGCTTTCAATCAGTGGAGCTTTCCAGTCATCTCCTCGTGTTAAATCAAATCCATTAGTTTCGTGATCTAGATGGAAAGGAAAGGAGACTGTGTTTCTAGATTTCTAGACTCACAGATTTGTAGTGGAAGGGAAAATCAAGAACCAAATGCTCTGGAAGAGTTGCGATTAGAGACCTTGTGAGGCATTTCAAGGAATGCGAGCGCTTACCAGTCTAGATCCGCGATGAATCTAAGCGCGACATGGCGCCGGCGCAATGAAATCCTTGCTCGCGCGCGTTAGGGTTCTTCGCGGCGAAGAGGAAAGCTTTTAATATATTAAACAAAGAAATCCCTCTCTCCTGTTAGGGTTTTGGTTGCTCTTCTTGGAGCGGTGCTCACGGCGCAATCGATTCCTCGAGGTTTGTAGCTAGAGATCTCTCGCATCGCTCAGGGCTATGGTAGCCAACGCCAACTGGTCGCAGCCAGTCCGCAGTCCTAGCGCCACAGTCACAGTGCCTGGATCGAAATCTTCCTCGGCTCGAAAATCCACCGCTGCGACTTCCGAGAGCTCTCCTCGTCCTCCTCGTCCTCCTCTTCCTCCTGCGCAGCCGATGGATTCCTCAAACTCCGCGCCGCCTCCTTTCCTCAACAAGACTTACGACATGGTGGAGGACCCTTCCACCGATCCCATCGTCTCCTGGAACCCATCGGGGAATGGCTTCATTGTCTGGAATCTCAATGAGTTCCAACAACAGCTCCTCCCAAAGTTCTTCAAGCACAACAACTTCTCGAGCTTCGTCCGGCAGCTCAACACCTATGTAAGTTTCTCCAGGTTTTCTTGGTTGGATTGATAGAAGCTCCAATGGTTCCTCCAATTTTTTTTCTTTAAAAAATGCTAGAGTAAAGTTCTTCCGGTTCTACAGGAACTGCTTTAGATAGTGGCTAACGTGGAGTGTTTTGGTGGCAGGGATTTCGCAAAGTTGACCCCGACCGCTGGGAGTTTGGGAACGAAGGTTTTCTAAAAGGAAAGAAGCAGCTTCTCAAAGGCATTCACAGGAAGAAGTCGGCCTCTCATCAGCCTCCCGCGGTCCAGCAACCGCAACCGCAGCCACAGCCGAGCTCGAAGCCGGCGTGCGTGGAAGTTGGCAAGTTCGGACTGGAAGGAGAGATTGAGCGGCTAAAACGCGACAAGAACGTCCTGATGTCGGAACTGGTGAGACTCCGACAGCAGCAGCAGCAGACGGACAGCGATCTCCAGATGATCTTGCAGCGACTTCACGTAACCGAGCAAAGGCAGCAGCAGATGATCTCGTTCCTGGCCAAGGCGATGCAAAGCCCGAGCTTTTTGGCGCATCTAGTCCAGCAGAACGAGAGTAAGAAGAGGCTAGCCGCGAGCGCGAGAAAGAAGCGAAGGCTTCCAAAGCAGCAGGACGGCAGCGAGCAGCAGAGCGATGGTAGCGATGTCGTCGACGAAACTCCATCTCCGGGGGAGGGACAGATCGTCAAGTACCAGCCAAATAACGATCCCATGGCGATGCTCATGCATTTCTTCAACTCTCCCGAGCATTCGCCATCGGCGTCAGCGGGATCCAAGAAGCTGGACATGGAGGTTTCCTTCCGGGACTTGGATTTGAATCCGGCACAGGACGGCAAAGGGCTGACGCTCACGGAGATGCATTCCGCCCAGATGATGGGAGATCTTTTGCTGTCGTCTCCTTCTCGGGTCGATAGTGGTGACATGCAAATCGCTCCAGCGTCTCCGCTGAGCTTGATGAGATTTGAGGCCTTGGCGGAGGAGCAGCAACAAGGCGAGAGTGGCGATGGCAGTGGTGGCGGTGGCGAGGAACAGTCCAAGGAGGAGGATGGTGGCCTGGATTCTTCGGGAGTTCCCGAGTTTATGATGGACATCGAGTGGGATCAGTTCCTGGCGGACGTTGCAGGGGAGGGTGGCAGCGACAACATCGATTTTGTGGAGGGATCGAATGCGAACCAGTGGTGGGACGAAAATGGTGACAAGGTGAGCGAGCTCGCAGAGCAGATAGGCCAGCTTACATCAACTACGTAGTTCGTTGGTTTTTATGTAGGAAATCTTTTCAAAATATAGGCAGGGCCTACTCCTTTAATTACATTTCAGTTACAATTTTTTACACAAAGCATAAATATTGATAATTTAGTACTGAGTTTTGATAATGGAATATTCAACTATCTAAAAGATTTAGATTAATTTTGTATTTATAATTTATAAGTATAGTTTATAAACTTTCCTAAACATAAAATTTGTATTAAGCAAACTATATGTTCTACATATAACTAATATTTTGTAGTATAATAATAATATATTCATTTCAAAATTAACTCATTCTTTATTTGTTTATATATTTGCTATAGATTTAAATTCTTTATGTTTTTGTGAATGCATGGAATACAAAAGTTGTGAGTGCATGGAATATGGAAAGGGAATACAGAAATGTGCATATCAATTAGCCCAAAAACCCTAGCTTATATACAGGAGCGAGTGGTCCGGATTGAAACCAATCCGACGGCTACCAAAATCCACTACGCTAATATTAGTATACGACATCGTAGCCGTACACTTGGCCCTCACATCATCCCCTCCTCTCGGAATAATGGAAGGCCGTCAGGGTTCTCTTGTAGATGGGCTGGGATCTGGAGGAACGTCAGGAGGAGGCATCGGCGGATCTGTAGACGGTATTAACTGCTCCTGATCCCTTTGTATGAAGCATTTTAACCGCTGCACATGCACAATCTCCGGAGGATCGGTTTGCTAAACATCATGCCGAACCTCATAAACTTGCGGTCCAACTTGCCACAACACCCGATACGGTCCTTTCCACTGCGCAAGGAGCCCCTTAGATAAACCATGTACCGTAAGATGGGGAAAACGAACTAACACCAAATCATTCACTTTGTACTCCGCAGGTGGACGATGATGGGAGTTGTAGCGCCGTTGTTGTCCCACTTGTACGCGGCCTAAGTGTTCGGCAGACTCTACTCGGACAAGTGGAAGAATGCTTGTCAAATACTGATCCCATGACCTAGCATCAGGAGCTCGTGGCAATCGCGAAGGTAAACCCAACTCTGTTGGTAATATTGGATCATGACCATATAGAAGTTTATATGGTGAAGCACCAATAGAACTCTGCACCCCTGTGACATAGGCATACCGAAGAAACGGCAAATAACCATCCCAATCCGAATGCTGGAAGTTCACATACTTCAAAATCATCCCTTTGAATGTCCGAATGAGCCGTTCCACCAGACCGTCTGATTGTGGATGATAAGCACTCGTAAAAGTGTGGCGTATCCCCAACCGAGATGTCAAAACATGAAATACCTCAGCCATAAATGCAGGACCATTATCCGAAAGAATCCGCTCTGGACAAGAATGCTGGGACACCACTCGATTGAGGAGGAAGTATCCAACAACAGTTGCAGAGGCGCTAGCAAGAGCACCAACTTCCACCCGACGAGTCAAGTAGTCAGAAGCAATAATAACATACTCATTGCCAGCAGTCGATCGTGGAAAAGGTCCCATAAGATCAAACGCCACCAACTCAAACGGACGGGAAATTGCAATTGACTCCAACCGTCCTTCCGCAGCACAAGGGGGAGTATTACGAGCTTGGCACCAAACGCAACTACACACATACCGAATAATATCACGTCGCATCTCCGGCCAATAGAAAGACTTGCGCAGCTTCTCGGTGACACGACAGTGTCCCATATGCCCACCTAGAACAGGAGAATCATGGTAGGCATGGAGAAACCGCGGAATAAACACCGAAGGTACCACCAGTCGTAAATGATTATCAGGATCCGTCCCCACAAAATAAAGAAGGCCATCTTCAAGGCGATATTGAGAATGTAAATGCCGGAAAGGTAAGTCATCAGCAAGTGATGCAAGATTCTCAAACCCATCTCGAAGCCTTCGAATCCATGGCTCAATCCTTTGAGCCTCGCGAACCTCCTCAAGAGAAGGCAGATCTTGCTCTGCACCCTGTGGACACTAAACGTCAAGGACAGCAACCGCCGACGGCACAGAATCCTCATCTAGAAAATCCACAGATGCTGGAACAACAGGTTCGTCAGAATGATGAGAAGTGAGTGGAGAAGGAAGAGGAGCTCGAGAAAGGGCATCAGCATCAGCCATAGAACTCCCTGGGCGATGAACAACATCGAAATCATATATCTGAAGCTTCAAAGCCCATCGAGCCGTATGACCAACCAGGTTCTTCCGCTTCAATAATGAAGTAACAACAGCATGGTCACCTTCAAGTAATGTCCGAGAACCATGTAGATATGCATGAAGTTTCTCGAAACCCCAGACTGCTGCTAAACACTCCTTCTCCGTCGTGGAG